TATTTATTTGTTATGCAGTATGAAGCATTAATGTCCTAAAAAACAGAAATTAAAAAATAATAAATAAATAAATAAATAAATAAAAATAAAAATCGGCTTCTCCTTTGATTAAGTTTCATAATCGCTTGAAATAAAAGGTTGATTCATTCAGATTACGCAAATTAATGCATGACTTTTTTTCCTTCATATTTCGCCAAGATTACTAAGATTGTCATATAAATCTATCAAATTAGCGACTACGAACTCGGAAAACAAACATAAAAAAAAAAAAAAAGTAAAAAGTATAATATTCGTGTATAATAAACGTGTAAGTTGTCTTATATTTCTCTTCATAAGATAAATTTAACATAATAAAGATTAATAACACTAAATTAAAAGAAAAAGTCATGATTAAATAAACCAAAAGACCAAGGGCACGACTATGTTTTATCTATCCATTTATTTATCTATATATCTATCTACCTACCTACCTGTATAACTATCTATTTTATCCATTTATTTATTTACTGGGCATTTCATCCACATCATACTCGGTCCAGAGCAGTGCTTCTTAACCGTTTCTCCTTCGTTGCAACCTTGCAATAAAAGCGATATCTCTAGAAACTCTAATGTAAGAAAACAATTTGCGATCTTAATGTAACTATTTTTATTATTATTATTTTTTTTTTTTTTTTTTTTTATAATGGAGCAAAAGTTACTTTCTGATAACCGATTTAGGTAAACGCAATTTGTCTTTCTTGGGTTTAATGGGAAAATGTGGGAAATAACCCAACGCACGGTCAGGCAGGCAGGCACGCACACACGCACGCACTTACAATTGATAACACATAACGTGGATATATGAGGGCCTTGTAACTTTTTTCCGATTCACATAACGTTCGTGTATCGGACAGTTCGTTAAAATTGTGCGAGACCCGACCCAATGAATGTTCGTAAATACAGACATGGGTATACATAAAATTTAATGCATATCTGTCTCTGTTTCCGGTATCTATAAATTTACCTATCTATCTATACGGTAGATATGCATGTCTAGACTGATAGAAATAAAATTATTTCTGTGCATATCCATGTCCGTAGAATGAATGCTTATCGGGTCAGGCCTCGCATAACTTTAACAAACCCGCCGTATAATAAATATATTTATATGTATAACGTGTGAGCGAGGGGCTGTACCTTTAACTTCTCTTTCTCACTCATGTAGCGTCCAAATAGAATAACGAACAACTAATGATACATAAAGTGGATAAATGAGGGGCTGTATCTCATTCTTCTTCTGATGCATAGAGAGCTATAGAGAGGACAAGGGAAGACGGAGGACAAGGGAAGACGGAGGACAAGGGAAGACTGGAGCTGGAGTCGGTGCATGTACGTAATCGTCGACAGAGTCACTTGGTTGCACACGGACTGTTCACGTACCGTTCTTGTTCGTAAGCCACTGAGTTCTCGTTTTAGCTGAAAAAAGTGTTCGGAAAATATTTCTTGTGATTCATTTGATCGATTTTGCTGATTTTTTTTTATCGAAAAATCATGTTTCCTGTGATTAATGTGATCATGATCACGATAATTATAGTCATGATTGTAATCATAATTCTAACAATTATCATTATCAGTATCATAATTTTCACCATTGGGACGATGGAACATGTCTTCTTACTGTATGGAATACATGCTTTGGAGTGAGAAGACAAACTACGAGCTATACCTAATAAACTACGGTTTCATAGTCGTGCGCACCGTCAGTGTGAAAACAGAATAGATCAATTGCATGCTTATAAATCGTCATATATTTATCAGTCTCCAGGTACCAGTAAATGAAAATATAAAAATGTTTCACTGGCATGGCCATAGCTTTCCATTTCCGCCACCATTCCTGTAACTTACCTATGGGTGAAAATAACAAAATGAAGATAAACACTATGAAAATTAGAGTGTAGTACACACAACTGCAGGTTTTTGGTCCTAGCAATTCACTTGGTCCAAAACTACACCCAAATTCCTGTATCAGTTACTGTCTGACGGGTTAATTCATGTTCCGCCCTATTATTTGTTTAGAGTTTATTTTTATAATGTGACTCTAACTGCAGTGCCTTTCGAAGTTGTGATAACACACGAACAAAATGCGTTTTAATTTACTCGCTCTCTGATTAGCTGTGTCACTATCAAGGGTTGGAACCATTGTATATTTTATTACATGTTGATATCTTCTGTGTAATCTTTCCGATTTCCTTTGTATTATTTGCACCTGCTTCTAAATTCAATGTATCAATATTGCGTTTGTATCTCTTAAGGCCCTTAAAACACGGTTGCGCCAAGTCAAGCACTCAGGATCTTGTGTAATGAGTTATTTATCTTCCCTATGTTTACTGCTTGTTTTGTTTTATCAGCTATGTGAAATTTTGAGCCAGAAATATGTTGTAAGCCTTTTATGAAGATTTGCAAGGAAAGCGCTAGGTGGTTGTGACTGTCTAGCATTTCCCTATTGTAAACGGAATATCACCGGCATGCTGCCATAGAAATCGTTGCTCCAGTCAGTGTATAGGTACCATTTACAGAGAGGAATGCTTGTTAGCCACTTGCCCTCCTATATGGTTGCGCTCTTGTTACACCGTATATGTATGTGTGTGTGTGTGTGTGTGTGTGTGTGTGTGTGTGTGTGTGTGTGTGTGTGTGTGTGTGTGTGTGTGTGCGTGTGTGTGTGTGTGTGGTGCCCCACTAGCGGTCCTATTCTTTAAGTATTTTGAGAGTACAATCCAGTTGTTTATGTTGGGTTTGCTGTTCATTACTTGTTCTGCAATGTTGAACAATATTTATTTTTACTTAATATTTTGTTGTCAATTGTTTAGTTCACGTTGTGGTTTGCGTATCATTTCTACCCCTTTACTCCTCTGCACATTAAAGACGTAAAATACTATTTATCCGAATTAATTTAAAAGTATTATATATGACTTCCTTGAATTATATATCTATATCAAGAACAATTAATTTGAATACTGATTAATTGACTTTATAATTCTATTTTACAGTGATAAAACAATAGTTTCATGGCATAACAGTTTATGTAGCTTTGTCCAACAACAATTGAAAGGACTGTGGTAATTATTATGGTGACGATGGTGCTAATGTGTGGATTAAAACAGCATGATACGGCGCCAAGTCAAGTTAAGAACAACATGAAAATACCCCTTGGAACCAAACTCCCCTTTCCCATGTTATTCAAAAAACAATTATATGCTCTAACTTTTCAAATGGTACCTACAGGCGCCCTTACGAGCCTTCAAAAATTCTTTAGGATCTTATTTATTTATTTATTTAGGATTTATTTAGGATCCTGTTGCAGCTGCCCTTTATTCCTATTGTTTCTGCAACAATCAGACAATATTTATTCAAATTATCTTTCAGTAATGACATAATAACATTGACTTTTGTACACAATAATCAAAGTGTATCGACAATATCCTTGTTCTATTAAACAAATATTAATTAGCAGAACAGATAAACATATTTAAAAGATTTTTGCAAAACAATAAGATCAAAAATATAACTGAAATTTCATCCATTAACCTTTTGATTCAATCTCATATAAGGAATACAAACAGAACAATCACATTTCAGACGAGCGACCTTAGTGGCGCGACTGCTAGAAGCGCGACTGCCAGGTCAATGGAAATGAATAGGAGCGCACACACGAAGTAGCTTGTACCTGACCTGTGGCGTGATTCGAGATCCTCACAGTCGCCCGACTGTTCAGCGACTCGAGGTACATGTGTTATTATGCGGCCGCACACACACGGTAACAGCCACTGCATTTTGAAGGTGATTGCGCGCCCCATTGGCTGGAGGGAGGGGGAAGGGGAAATATGGGTAAGAAATGGAGGGAAGAGGAGGTAGGAACGGCAAATTACGTGTAAAGCTGAGGGAAAAGGGAGATGGGGAAGGGGAGATGGAGTGAAAGGGAAAGGGAGGGTTACGACCAGTGAGAGAGCATCACGTGGAGCGAGGCAGACAGACAGGCGACAGTAGCTTCCGCTTCCCCCAGCCTGTTATGCTGATTTTATGGATATTCTCATGCAATTAAAGACCTTGGGTTCATGTTCTCGTAAGTTTGGATACAATGTGAAGAACCTTCCATGGGTAAGTCTGTTATTTAAGATAGGATGAACTCAATAACGTTTGTCTCTCTTCCACCTCTGCAAATGACGATATAAAACCCATGCACATGCCACCTCTTCTACATCCATTACGAGCTGCGTATGATCAGCGACTGAAAAAAAAAAAAAAAATATATAAATATAAATAAATATATATATATATATATATATATATATATATATAAATATATATAAGTTGGGGAGATATGGAAATTGGGCGAATGTTGTGAAAAATTCACTCATTTATCAGCAGTCTTCGCTCGTATTCCTAAATTATTTAATCTAACTCACCTTGACATATCCTTCGGTACTATCCATGGTAATAGGCACCTCTTCTATGAAATTCCAAACTGTCTATGAGCTTACTAGTAATATCTCAATTCTTCTGTCCTAATGTTATAAAAACATTGCTTCAATATTAAATACAAAAAACTGAAATCATTACTAATTTTCCAGATGCATATATATACCACATAGTTACATCCAGCGTTGCCAATTAGTGCGCCAAATCACAAATATCAGAACACAAACGCTATACATCTAGCGTCTACAGTTCCCTTAATCTAATTCCCGTGAAACCCGAAAAATAAAAAAACACATCAACAATAAATTTTTTGGGAAGGAACAGAATACCCTTAATCTAATTCCCGTGAAACCCGAAAAAAAATAAACAACAAAATACAAGATCAATATTCTAAATTTTAAAAAGGAAAGGAAAGTTGGGGAAAGAAGAGAGGAGAACACGAGACGAAGTGACTTTGAGACAGAGATTAGAAGCGAGTTAGCAAGTGACTTCAGAAGAGTATCATATCTTCAAATTCCCAGACTTTGTTGATCGACTATCGGGTATATATACAGCGATGAGGACCGTCTCTCTACCACCTGGGCTTGTTCGAGCGTCGAGGAAAGTCAACATGAAGAAGTTTGCTCACCTGGGTCTCCTGTCGCTTCTGATCACCTTCTGCCATGGGAGGTTCCTCACCTTTCCTAAACTGCCTTGTCCGATCCCCGAAGATATATTGCCTTGTACATGTACTGGTGATGAGAATGGTACAATGGACATGGATTGTTCTCATGTAGTGAGCGAGGACGAACTGGAGAGGGTGTTCTCGTCGTTCTTTCCCTACACTATGTTCCGGAACTTCACCGTCGTTGATAACACGTACCTCAAGACCCTGAGGAACCAGGCTCTCGGCATCGCCTCCTTCACGGGCGTCTACATCATGAACAGCGTCCTGGAGGTGGTAGAACCCGACGCCCTCTCGAGCAGCTTTGCCACAGCCCGAGTCGTCAACATGCAGAATAACTCGATATCTTCCTTTCCCTTCGAAACCCTGCCCTCCTTCACCAGCCTCCTGGAGCTCGGCCTCAGCGACAACAGCCTGACCTTCCCTGCCCTAGAGTCCGAGACGCTGCTCATGCTCGACCTCTCCAACAACCAGATCCAAAACGTCGCAGCCACGGCCTTCTTGGATGTGCCGGAGATCTCGGAAATTTACCTTGGAGGGAATCAAATATCTCACATTCCTACAGGTAAGATGGGAAGTTATTTCCATCATTATCAGCATTATTATGTTGTGGAAGTTAGTAATTTTTTTATCTTTATTATTTTGTTTATAACATTCGTCACGATCAGCATTCTCAGTTCACATTATGGATATGTTATATCACATCATTATTATCACCAATTAGTTCGTATAAATCCGTTTGTCAGTATCAGTATCATCTTTACATTGAACTCATCCCATCGATTAACATTATGGAAATGTTATAGAACGAATGTTGTTGATATCGGCAACCTATTGCCAGGCACCTTCGCGGGACACTACAACCTGCACATCGTGAATCTAGAATCGAACTCGCTGACCTACCTTCCCGAGGGCGCCATACAGCTGACCTCCATCAGTCCGGGGACGGTCAATTTGCGGAGGAACCAGATCACAGATATTGCTGTTAATAGTATAATAGGTAGGTGTTTCGACAACCTAATTACTGGTGAGTACTGCACCGTGCCCTCTGGCGTTAAAACTAATGTATTTTGATGACTAACACACAAGGACGATTCAGTGTTTATATGAACGGTCTACACACACACACACACACACACACACACACACACACACACACACACACACACACACACAACACACACACTCACTCACTCACTCACTCACTCACTCACTCACTCACTCACTCACTCACTCACTCACTCACTCACCTACCCACTCACTCACTAACTCACTCATTCACACAAACACGCACGCACGCACAAATACTTATATGTACACATATATTCATGTACAAATAGATATGCATTTACCAGAAGAAAAGAAAAACAACTGGAGATTCATATGTATAATATGAAATATCTTATCACTTTCATTTTTTTTAAAGAAGTCGGCAACCTTGACATGAGCAACAATAATTTAACGGTTTTGGAAGAACACATTTTCCGCCCTCTTCTGTCCCAAGGCACCATCCTTGAGATCCAGGGTAAGCTGCTGAGGTAGTAAACATTTAGAGTTCAAGGAAAAATTGACACATCACCTTTAAATACGTAATAAAACGAAAAGACATTTTGGCATATGCATGTGTTTTGTTCTGTTGTTCTTCCCTTCAGTTTTGTGTTATTTACCAAACAATTGACGTTTTTATTCGTTTATTTATGCCTTCAAACTGTTTTTTTTTCATATCTCTTTCATGTTATTAGAAACCCTCATATTTTGAATTTAGTTTTATTTAATATTTAATTTTTCACTCTTTCTAGAGTCGATTTATCCCTCTCTAGATTAAGCCTACCCCCCCCCAGGGAACCCCTTCACTTATCATTATTTATGTTGTTAGAATTTGTTCTTTCTCTTAATTTTTCATCTTATAAGAAATTTCTTTTTCGCCTTCGATGTACTTTTAGCTCATTCTATTTCTTACTCTTATTAGAAACCTCTGGATTAAGTTTTATTTCATGATCACACTTCCTTGAAACCTATATCCCTCAATGGATTAAGTCCCCCCCCCCTCCAGGCAACCCCTTGACTTGCGACTAATTTTGCTGTTTTTATTTTCTCCATTTTATTTGAAACTTCAATACCTCTCCGAATTTAATTTGATTCAATCTTTTCACTTATTACCCCCCCCCCTCCTGGCAACCCCTTTACCTGCGGCTATTTTTGCTCTTCGGATTTAATTTGCTGGCAACCCCTTTACCTGCGGCTATTTTTGCTCTTCGGATTTAATTTGATTTAATCTTATTTTCACTCTTATAATAACCCCCCCCCCCCTACAGGCCCCCCTCACGTGCGGCTGCGACATCGCGTGGCTGATCCGCGACCCCCTTCTGCTGGAGCTGGTGGCGGAGGGCGCTGCCTGCTTCAACGGGATGCTGCTCGTCGACCTCGACCCCGGGATATTTGACTCCATGGGATGCCCTTAGGTGTGAGGGTTCGCGGGCGTCTGTTGCCTTCTGTGTCCAGAGGCGTGTCCGGTGGGCGTGTCTAGGGGCGTGTCTGTGGTGGGGTGAGGGCTGGGTAAGGGTAGAGGATGGGTGGTGGGATGGGGATTGGGGGATAAGGAGGAAAATGTCCTTGTCTTTGAAATGAACTCCTCCTCTGCTGCTTGCCTTTGTAGGAACAAGTGAAAAATCCGTTGGAAGATCAAGCAAGATTGCCATTATCATTACTGTTGTCTTTGCTATTGTTATTTTTATTATATGTTTTTTTTTGTTTTTGTTTTGTTGTCATCACAATGCGCACACACATATGGTTGTATTAGTACTAAAGCACTCATGCGACATTTTACAGACTAAGTCCCACATATATGGGTCTAATTCACATCAGTATACTAAAAGTTATTTCTTTCACAGCTGATCTCCCCGAGTCCTCAACCCAGTTCCTCCATTCATGAGAGCTGCAACGTCGGCCTCGTCTTAACACACCAGTACGATAAAGAGAAAAAACATAGAAGAAAATATACAAATATTGAAATAAAATTGGATGGGAATTGTTTCGTGGTGTTTTCATTTCTCCTCCGCGCTTTACTCGTGTTGGTGAATAAAAAATGTTTGACTCTTTTTAACTGATTTTAAGATTTCGCAACGATCCATATCTTCATGATTCTAAATTAAGATAAACATGCAAACTACCCATTGCGGTAAGTTATAACTAGTTCCGTTCTTGGCAAACAATAATAGATAGTTTAAAATATGTGCAAAGAAAACAAGACAGTTCTATTGGTTTTGTTTGCTTCTCTAAACCCACTGGACGATAGTAAAGCTAGCGAATAAACTTCATAAACTATTAGATAACTGCCAGTTCCGAGTAGTAGCATGAGAGAGAGAAAAACAAAACAAATCAGAGAGGAAGAAGAGCCGTCAAAGAGAGGCTGAGAGAAAAAAGAAAGAACGACCGAAACAAATAGGCAGAGAGCGACAGAGGGGGAAAGAAGAGCCAATCTTATTTTGAAATGTTGACGTTAGCGACATATGCTTCTTCGTCTTCCTCTAATTTCCATTCTTGTAGTTCAAAGGACATGGAACAGTCATGCTCCCTCGCGCTACCTATCACATAATAGGCGCTGCATTAACCCGAACCTACACACAATGAAATTAGTCGTGGAACTGGACTCATTTACCACAAGGAACCGATGGAAGACGTTGAACAGATCATTTTGCCGTTATTTTCCTCAGAAGTGGAAGGGAATCATGTCATTGGGGATTTTTAAACGAGGTAGTACAAAGAAGTGTGTTGTTTGTTGTTAGTAGTCTCTTTTGTTTCTTCACTGGACACAGAGTGATTAAAACCAGAAGAACCAGGTTTTACAGCTGAGCATGTTGGTTTTCCTCAAAGCTCGAGGTAGCTCAATACGTGCAGATCTGACTTCAGCAATTGTTTTTTTTTTTTTTTTTTTTTTTCACTCGCTACCCCCTTCTCAAGCCTCCCACTTATCCACGGTCCCCCGGTATAATTTCTAGGCCGAGATAGAGAATATATCGTAATTACGATTTTTATTCATCTAGATATACTGTTATCATTATTTAAACGTAATGCATCATTCCTTCATTGGATATTTTCAAAAAAGAGTGACGAACACATATCAGCCTATTATTTTTTCTCGCGACTCCCCCTTCCCCCCTAGACACCTCCCACCGTCTAGGAACTACACTCTATTTTTTTTATATTAATTCCTCTTTATCTGTATCTGTCTCTCTCTGCCAACCCATATTTTTCTTAGCGTATTTGCCCTTCTCTTTCTAAAGCACTCGATTCAGGTACTTTGCTATATGTTTCCCGGCTCTCTCTAACGAAACCATTTACTTTATTTAATGAATTTTGTTTCATTTAGAGAAGACATAAAGTGAATCATCTGAAAATAAATAAAGGTTTGCATTATTATTACTATTATCATGTACCTGTATCCTGCCTTACTTACAGATTAATAACGAGAATGCATTATCTGGCCTTTAGCGTATAAATCAAATACCTGTTGGTTTGATTAAAAAGTTATGAAAGTCAAAGAGAACAGCCTCCTTGTGGGAGAGCTCCATTTCGTTTCATTCTTCTGTAGTTAGTGATGAAGGGAAAAGGTCTGGAAGATTAGAAAGAGGCAGACCCCGAAGACATATGGGTTTGGAGAAGACTGTGATTGAGTCGCCTTTTCTCATGACAAAAGGTGATCAAACTCGGCAAAAGAAGTTGGTTTGTGGGCATCAATGTGTGAGCTTTTCATAAGGTTGGTATGTTTCCTTCTTCATTTTTCTTTCTAATTCTCTCTCTCTCTCTCTCTCTCTCTCTCTCTCTCTCTCTCTCTCTCTCTCTCAATATATATATATATATATATATATATATATATATATATATATATATATATATATGTATGTATGTGTGTGTGTGTGTGTGTGTGTTAGTATTTATTAAATTATATATTTCTCACTTTACAATCAATATTTCTTAAGGAATATTCAAATCAGCATTTGATTAAATCATTTCATATTTTCCATCAGTGAAGGGTATTGCATATCATTAACGATAAACTAGTTTGATTTCTTTATACATTCTGCTGGGAATTCAGGTAATTAATTATTTCAGTTAGACAATTAATTTAAATCAGTAAATGATTGAAAAAAAAATCTGTTTTTGATTGAATGGTATACAGAGCAAGATATGAGCATTTTGTTTTAGTTTACTAATTAATTTTGTTACTATTATTACAATTAGTGGTAATATTTTTGGTGAGATATTTTCATGTTGAGATGTGTGTTTGTATGTGTTATATCATATTTTGAAACTGCGGTATGGAAATCTAACGCCATATTGCTGAGGAAAAACTATATAACATAAGGTTCAATTAAAAACTTCAAGGATTTTTTTTCCACTTTACAGCTTCGTTTTTTTATTAGAAGGGAAAGTGGATGACGTCAAGTGAGCGTTGTGTCGCCTCATAATAAGGAACAACGCTGCGACCTCAAGTGTAGCGAGATCTCATCTGTCAAAAGAAATATTCTGTGTATTACAGGTGAGAATCAAACGTATTATTATACACTATGGGTGAAAGGCTAAAACAAGGTCTACTTAAGTATATATCCCATATATAGATATAAGACTCCACATAACACGTGGTCAAGGCGGGCAGTCTTGCTAGGGACATGGTGCTACGTCGTGTATCTGAATCTCGTACTATTTTCCCGATATATTGTACTTGCACAATGTGTGTGTGTATCAACAGCTCACAATAAAGCACATTAAGTAGGATATGCATTTGCTGGCTAAACTTTATAAAGTATATGAAAATGCTGATGATAATGACGTTAATGATATGATTATATCATATATTTTAGCATTAGGCTAATGATATTCGAAATTATAATTATTATATTAACAGCGATACTACTATTTTTTAAACGAGGAAGAATGATAGATAGAGACTGAGGGAGATATAGAGATGGGTGAAAGGAGAGAGAGAGAAAACGACAGACAAAGACGGACAGAGATACACAGGGACAGACAGAGATACACAAATGACAAAACAAAGAGAGAGCGAAGACAAAACTATCACTATTGGAAAATCAGTCATCCTTACCACTCGCAACCCATGTTATCGTATATCCCGGGATTGAGGTCCA